ATATAAAGCTAAATTGTAAAAGGAAGTAAGAAATTGTAAAACAATGGTAGGCCTAGGTAGATATAAGATACAAGAAATCGAAAAGCGAAATCATACAAAAGATCTGATTGCAGCTGATATCAATAATATATCCTTACTTCGATTGCAAGGTTCTTTGTAAGCCCATCAAACTGTCACGTCAAGAACTTGGATGTGTGTTACAGTGTACGAGTAAGCGATGAAGAAGAAAGCAAAGATACCACCACTCCCCTGATCGAGGCTGCGGTGTCACATAGCGTGAAAGTTGTCACTGATTTGCTGAAACATGGAGCCTCCGTCAATTTCCCAAAGGTAATTAACATTACTGATGTGTATGATGATGACAGTTGTCCAACAGGAGTAACGCAAATAAAGTTTAGACAACCATGGTCTAAACGGAATTTAATCCAATAGTCACACTAGTTACGTTATACCACGTCTAAACTCACTCTATGTAAACTGTGACATATCCACGTTATAATACTACAGTGTCGCCTCCGTCTAGTCGTTGTAGGAGAGACCCATGTGAACCCCAATTCAGCTTTAAACCAGGTGTAATTTAGACTTCGTTTAAATAATCGGCCCTTACTGTGTGACCATTCATATGAAAACCATTGAGCAGTACTTTCATGTGGCACTGTTTATTATGCTGCACAAGGTTAATATCCCTTCAAGTCTGTGGATGAAACCCTAGTGTGTGACCATTCCAATGAAAGCTATTGAGCAGTACTCTCATGTGGTACTGTTTATTACGCTGGTTCTTACTTTAAATCTGTAGATGAAACCCTAGTGTGTGACCATTGAAATGAAAGCAATCGAGCAGTACTTTCATGTAGTGTTTCATGTTCAACATTTTACAAGATGAACTTGGGTACTCTTGGGACAAAAACGTTGTATAAAGGTTAGGAGGAGTGATGTAAATTGATGGATACAGTATTAAATATAAATTGATGAAGTTAGACGTCAATTGTTTGTAGTTGCCAGACTTTGGTCCATTTTTGTGTCTTATTCAGCACAACGGTCGCACACCACTCATGGAAGCTGTCCGCAACAACATGGTGGACATGGTCAAAGTGCTGATTTATGCCACAGATGACATAGCTGTTTGGGAGATAAAGGAAACAACAGATGTTGATCTGACATTACAGGATAATGACGGGAAATCAGTGACACATCACTGTGTGCAGAACAGAAAGGTAACAACACATGCAGTGACTGAGTAAACAGCTTAGCCCCCGTGACTAGAGGTAGCATGAGTAGAAGTAGAAAACTGCTGCACGCGCTGAACTCTAATAGATATAACAACACAGGAAACAATATTTCTCACAGTGTCACAAGCTACTCGGAAAAAAAATTCCGAGTTTCCCCAATAGCAGTCGAACCTCCCTTTCGCACACCAGTCGGACGCTCTACCACTGAGCTACAGCAGACTCGTGGTGATAGGTTCAACTCCAACTTTCTCATATTTCTACCAAGCTTAAAATATACCATTTATATTTATTTCCACACATTCTCACTCATCGACAAATCTTATCCTAGCAGTATGCGGGATGTTTGTCATTATTTGAACCTAGTTATATGGCCTAAGCTCCCACGAGTCTCCTTTAACTCCGGGGAGGTACTCCCTATAATGGACTATACGGGGAGGCTCCGCCCGAAAGGGGTACCTTTTCAGTCTGGAGGTATATAAAATGGTAGGGATTTCTCGAGTTGAAGTATAGTAAAGGGTAGGGAAAACTGTCACTTAGGTATTGAAAAGGGCCTAACCGACGCGCCTAGCGGCTGATTCAAACAATCTACTGGTGACGCGTGATGTTTTCCGAGGATATCGTTCATTAAGTTAATTCAGTTCATAACATTGTCAAAGTAGCTGTGGATCCACGAGGCGAAGCTGAGTGGATCCGCAGACTACTTTGACAATGTTATGACGAAATTCATGTTCAATAACAGGACAGACGCATTAAAAACTGACGTTTCTTAAACTAACCTTTATTATTTGGAAATTCTTGTAAACCCGCTGAAATATTCGCAAGTTCAGTCCATTCTTATCAGTTGTTTTGAAGTTACACGCGGCAAAATAAACTGAATCCACTCCAGTCAACTTCAACAGCAAACTACAACAAATACTGTTCTCTTTCCCTTTACCGTTCAATTAATTCTCCGTCTGCCGATTGAAAAGCAACCTGTAAACGACGTTTCATGATTTACGCCTCAAAGAACTCCTGTTCAGATGTAATTTTCCACTTTATCGAGAACTGACATTTTGGCGAAATTTTGAAGCCTTTCCCGCGCGATTACGTCATTCATGTGTCTGTCCTCTTATTGACACTAAAAATTAGCCAATGAGCGCTCGGGAATTTTGACAGTTATTGTAAAATAACATTTCTTGAAATAGTCACAATACAGTCGAATAAGAGAGATATTTTCATTCTGTTCAATCCGAAAAAATATTTCTGAACTTAGAACTCAGTGTTGTTCAGCCTGGGACGACGACTTTGCTTTGGATTAATTCTGTCACGATGCGTATATTCCCTAAATTATATTTTGCCAACACAAGGAACACGAGCGTTGAAGCATTCATGTATTTTTTTTAAAATTTTATTTACTTTAATTTTCTGTTATATACATTTTATGATTGAGCTTCTATCATACAAATTATCGCAATGACTTGTTAACTGGAATTAAAGTAATCGCTCGCACTACTTCTAAGAGGAGCTTAGCATAAGTAAAGCTATTTTTAAGCACAAGGTCGTGTAATAAATCTCTTATTAACCAAGCTTGCTCGGGACCGTACTGGGAGAATATCGACCCTCGGTCTTTTCTGTAGGGACCTACGCGCTTGGTTATCACCTGTCGCCAGCAGACTCCGCGACGACATCTGATAAACTCTCCGTGGTTATGGCGTCAGCTTAATAAAATACATGTATGACTCTCTAACGTAGATTGTCCAACTAAGTTTACTTAGGAATTAATAATTTTACAGCAGTTGGAATGAGCGTGCATGGCATTTGACCTGCTTCGCCGCTCGTTTGTCAATTTGCAACTTGACCTCGATCTACCGTGTAGCACTGACTAAAAGTTTGCGTATTCTCATTTGGAACTTTACTTCGATCTATATAGCTTTTAAAAGTTTTAGAAGCAGCTAAGTTGTCTGATCGTGTTCTTCACTTGTTGTCTCACTTCTCTGATCTTCCAGCAGTACAGAATCGGGTTTAGAGATGAGTTGGAGAACAGTAGAGTTACTGTAGCTGTCCAAGCCACGTAATTGTGTATTCCATTCGCATATAGCCCAACCATAATACCAAACGGAACATAGCAGGCAACTAATGCTAACTGCACCCAAAAAATGCTAGAAACTGTCTTTTTGTATCTTGCTATGTTCAGTGGAATCCCTCCTCCGTTCGGTTGTCCTTGGACATGGTTTTGTATTTGGGCTTGTTGATGTCGTAGTGTCAGGTGGATCTTCGTGTAAGAGAAGATCGAAGTTACCACAGAAAGTAGTATGAGAACGAAGGCTACATTGAAGGCAACATCGTCTCTCCACTTCCGGATTGCCCCACCTAAAGCACCAATTAGACAAAAACAAATTATAACCACACGAACTCGCCTTAATATTACGACATGTCTATATCTTAGTCCCAATAACAGGGCGAGAAGTCTGTCCACACTTATTGCGGTCGACGTCAACATAGATACTCCACACAAAGTCATGCTTAAAGTTTCCTCCACCTTTTGAAGATAGTACAACACAATCCAGTTGATCTCTATTATACGAGACATAAAGAAGATTACAAAGATTGGTTGTACAATAAGTCCAACACAAAGATCAGTGACCGCCAGGCATCGAAAGAACAGTTTTGTTGGAGGACAAATAGATGTCACTCTATGAAAAGCGACGAGGGCTAGAACATTGCCCAGAAATGCAGTGATGGAAAGAAAAATGTACAAGGCTGTAAAATTAAAATTCAACGGCCATGCTTTCTGGTAATGCGCTGAGTACTTGGTGCAGTTTACTTGTGAAGTTTCCATCTCCAGTAACGTTCGCCATTGTTCTTGGTTGGGTAGAAAATCAAGCTTCCTGTGAGATGTTTTTTAGTTGAGGGAAAAAAACCCATCTGCTTGCAGTTTTAACAGTGGGATGATGATTTTATATGTCGCTGATAACTGACAAGTCCAGTTGTTCTTTATAAAGTCCTGTTTATATTGGATTGTCAATTTTATTGTTTAACCAATGAAAGGGCGGTCAAACATCAGACTTTTAAATTTTCTTTGTTGTTCATCTGGAACCTATGAACAGACGAAGACACGTCTGTGTTGAAAAGTTATAGATATGTTAATTGGCACTCAGGAATATTACCTTGCTTACCATTAATTGTGGTATCTTTTTCTTGCTGTTAGAGTACGAATTAATTGAAAACAAAAAGCTAGTTAAGGCCAAAGGAATAGCATCGGTCACATATCTTTTTAACACAAAAAATAAAGGTTTTGGAAAAGAACGGGCGCATTTGAAGTTTATGGGCAAAGTCTATTCAGTCTATCGATTCATATAACAGCTGTTACTGAACAGTTGGTCATCTAAGCATATTAGGGTACTCCCTATAATTGACTATACGGGGAGGCTCTGCCCGAAAGCGGTAGATTTTTCTGGCTGGAGGTATATAAAAGGGTAGGGATTTCACGAGTTGAAGTATAGAAAATGGTAGGGAAAACTGGCATTTAGGTGTTCAAAAGGGCCTTTCAAAATATCTCGAACAGCTGATTCATCCAATATAAGGTGCTACTCAAACCAAAAGTTTATTAAAAGTCGTAAAAGGGATGCGGTGTTTCAAATGTAGGTATGTGAAAGGGGTACCATTTTCTATGGAAGGTATATGAAAGGGCTACCTTTTCTGTCAAAAATGGTATATAAAAGGGTAAGGGTTTGGACCTCGGGGCGGAGCCTCCCCGTATGAAACTTTGTTGAGTACCCCCCCCCCCCCCCCCCCCCGGGCTTAACTCAGTGGTAGAGCATATGACCAGTGTGCAGAAGGTCATAGGTTCGACTCCTGTTGGGGGAACTTGGAATTTTTTCCGAGTAGCTTGTGTCACTGACTGAATAATAATATCTTTCTAATATTTCTCACGTTTTCTTTTATTCAAATATGATTTTTATTTAACTTAATTTTAGCAGTTTCCCAAAACCTCAAAGCCATGTAACAGTGTAAAATTTTACAAATGCAAAAAATCTAATGAAGGGCAAAACAAATTTATACGTTACGCGTACGTGCAAATACAATTTCTCTGCGCCTTTCAATAACACGCAAACTCGAAAGTTCAAAACCCAACTAAAGATTGCGTTTTACACTGCCGTCAATCATACGCCCCGATCAAACGGTCACAACATTTGTGTCAACATTCTCTCAACATTTGTTGAGATCCGATGTTGAGGCCGTTTGACACTCCCTCTCAACAATGTTGAGAGAGGTTGTGACATGTTGAGACGAGTTTTGAATTCATTTAAACTTTGGGTCAACATCTTCACAACATTTATTTTGTTCTTGAAATGTTGAGAGGTAGTTGTGGCCGTTTGACCGGGCATGGTCTCAACATCTCTGAACATGACACAACAAATGTTGAGAGAATGTTGAGACCGTTCGATCGGGCCTTAACGCCGCAAACCAACGGACCATGAATGCAAATCCACCCATCAACCGACAGACGTGACTTTTGACCCGTTGAAGTGAACTTCTGTTTCCTGAGCTGAGAGAGAGATGTTCCGCCAAGATAATTGTCGACAGCCCAAAACGCAAACCGTTGGTCGAGTTTTCTTCAGAATTTGTTGCTGCATGTTGTTGAAACGCTTAGTAATCTTTGTGTTTGTATGTTATTTGGCCATTGTAGACAATCATGAAATTCTTCTTAACAATTCTTCTTATAACTCACAATTGACTTTGTTCCCAATGTGTGGCTTCATAGCTCAGTTGGTAGAGCATTGCACCGGTAACGCGGAGGTCATGGGTTCAAATCCCGTTGAAGCCCTGATTTTTTTCAGGTCTCTTTGCAACTGCTCAAATTTCAAACACAACACAACGAATCATTTCTTCACTTTATACATTCTTCTCTTATTGCCTTAGTATGGATCAGCAGAGAACGTTGAGTTGCTGAGATTTCTGGCCAGTTTTGAGGCTCCACTGTCTCTAAAAGAACTCCGAGGGTCACACGCCTCTTTACTACGCTAAACAACAGGGATCTGGGATCATGAAAATGGCATTGGAAGAGCTTCTAGGAGACGCTGAGGCAAGCAAGGTGAGTAAGAGTATGCACGACTGTTTCAGTTCTCAGTTATATTACTTACATGTGTCTGGAGAGTTCGGATAATTCATGAGTTCGAGTTAGAACTCGAGTTCTAGTTGTGGTCGAGTTAAAATCGCTATAAACCCCAATATAAAGCTAACCGCAAGCTACCTAAGCTAATTAGGCCATTTTATAGTTCTGTGAAATGTAACCAAGCCTCTGTATGAAAGCGAGGTAAGGGGTGACCATGAGATGATAGAGACCAGAAACTAGTTTACATAATAACAGAATAATTTACATTTGAAAAGAAGGAAGGTTTGTATCACAGCAAAGTCACCTCCAGCCTCACTTCTGTTCAAAGGCCTGGATTCTAAGCACACAACTGTAAAATGGACTATTAGGCTAACCGTGGCCAACCGAAGTGCTAAAACTTAAACTCGAACTCCTAACTCGATGTCGAACTCATAAATTCCCCTGTCCCGTGACTGGGAATGTTATCGAACACAGGAAGCTGAACTTTGTTCTTTGCAACAGCAAGGTTTTAATTAGCTACTTGGCAGTTTAACGTGTTCAAAAGTAACAATAGTAGTGTTTGCAATACTGGTGTGACATTGGGGTTTTGTAGTACGCCCAGTCTTTCTTTTAGACATTAGGGACCTTCAGATCGACGTACGAGTGCGACGACGAGTGCGACGACGTACGAGTACGACCTTCTTCTCACAAAACCAATCCCACTTTTGCCGTCTGGCGTTTTGCCGTTTTTACGTCAAAGAGAGTAGTTTTGCGTTTATCGTGAACGTGTGAATTATTTTTTCGATTTTTTCTGATGGTTTTATTTAACGATTGGAGAAAAAGTAAAGAAAATCGAGTGCAAGCTGACGTTTGCCGCAGAATTCTCTGACTGTGGTGACACCTGGTGACACGTGATAATATTGAGCACGCGCACTTCGTTTGAAAAATCGATACTCGCATGTCGATCTGAAGGTCTCCATTGCCACGAAGAACAAAGTCATGACTCGATGGACACTAGACTATGATCAATGATAAGCTTCTGTCAATGCTTATTGTCTCTTATTTTGTCGAAAAAGTGAGAGGGAAATTAGCCGCGAGAAAACTGGGGGCGAGACGTCCAGTTGGAAGAATCTGAAAGTTTCTTTCGTGAAGGCTTTACAACTATACATTTAGTTTTTACCAAAGCACAACAGCTAGCACACTGAGGAATATAGATTAGCCACTGGGTTATGCTGAAACAATTAGACTGGTTTCTCGGTTTCTCGGTTTCTATCAACTTTGATAGTCGACTCAAGGCTTCGCTTCCGGCCGCCAACTATCCGCCGTTAGAAACATCCAACTCGTAGTCTAATCATTATTTTCCCCGCTGCTTGCCCCGAGAAACTACAGATTTCTCAAATTCATTACTAATTCAAGTTAAAGGATCACTATCACGAGTTACGCATGCGCGAGCTTTCGATCTCAAGTTTGAAAAAGTCTGGCAGACCTTTTCAAATCTCACTTGCGAAACTCAAAATGGCGTCGACAAGTAGAGGCATCCGTGGCGGTCGTAGAGAAAATTCCGGTCGTACAGGATGTAGGAGGATGTTTACAACTATCAGCGAGAGGAAGAGAGAGTGGGAAAAAGCTCAAAAAAGAATATATTTAAAGAATATCGTCTTTCAATCGTGGATTCAGGCCAAACACTTGGCAGGTTACGATAGTTGCAGTGACAGCGATTTGCTATCCTTCGAAGGTAACGAACTTTTGCACTTACAGAATTGTGAAGAGGTTTCCTAAACGAGAAGAACTCCATTTTGCAGGTTCTGATTTACATAATCATGATGGGATGCAAACATCATGCCCATTATTTTCACTTACCGACGAATCCATCATGGCGGATAATAACAGCGTAGCCGATCCGAGAGCGGAAAATCGCGCATGCGCTACTCATGATAGTGTCCCTTTAAGTTATGTTAAGTTAAGTTAAATTAAAACAAAGGAAATTATAAACCGTGACGGAGGTTTGGATATCGGGTCTTAATTAAAAAATTGGTATATATTTACGATTTTATTTCTCCGTTTACTAATTAGTTTTTGTTTCGATTGAGAAGATATGTCAAACACTCGAGGCAGTGTTTCATCCGATTTCCAAACACCTCGAAATTCGTCAAAAATACTCTGCTACGCATCTTATTTTTCAACTCTCTTCTCGGTGTTTGGAAATCGGATGAAACACTGTCTCTCGTGTTTAATATATTACTTACTGCTGACGTAAGTGTTTTGGCGGCTTGGATCGATAAACCTACTAGCGATTTGTTTCCTTTGGTCTGTATTTAAAATTCACAACGTTTTGGTCGTTATGACGACAGCAAGGGTTGCGCGCCGGGAATGACACAGTCTATAGTAATAGCTCCATCGTATAATATCAAGCGTTCATCTTATATAATATTCACTTGAACAATGCATTACTGCTGGCAAAACTTCAATCCACACTTGGCGACGGAGCGTTCGTTGCGCTTGCTACGCTGCACATGAAACTCGCAGCAGTTTGCAGCTGCACCAGCAATTAGCATACTAAACAACTCTGTTTTTGTTTTGTCTTGATATATTTCGGCAATATTAAATGAAGATCCATGGCATTTTTTCCTATATACATGTTAGCTTATTTTCGATCAACACCTCTAGCATGAAGCTAAGGATCGTCTTTATCTCACCGATATCTTTTTTACCATGTCAGAAATGTCCAAATTCGAGACAGGTTGGTAGGTTTTCAAAACACATGGCCTGCTCAAGCCTGACAGTAACTCAAACAACTGATGTTTACGCCTCGGTTTTATTCTAATCAGTAATTTAAAAAATCATGATCGTCGTATAAATTAGCCGTTTTTAATTTACTGCCGTCTTTTGTGAGGATCATCCCGTTTAATAAGTAAAGAAATCATTTTTTACTAGACATTGTTGTCCACCTGGTCCGTGACATCAGGATAAGAAACTATCTTAGAATCGGGAGACAAACCGTTCCAGAAACGCTCAGTGCCTCTCTTTAAAAGGAAACTTTTATCGATATCATGAAGAAATCATCTTGTGAATTGGTGCTGCAGTTCAACCCCAAAATATCCGAACTTGGAGATCTTCGTTCGATTTACATCTTTAATTGTGTCTTCAACAGTTTTTTGTCCTATACCGCCATCATGTTGAACATTTTAACAATCCACGCGATAAGAAAAATTCCGTCGTTGCCAAAGACTTTAAAAACATTGCTCGTGAGTCTTGCTGTTTCTGATGTTGGTGTTGGTTTATTGGTCCAACCATTTTACAGCTCGCTTCTGGTCAAGTGGTTAAAACAAAACAATCCCAGTTGTAACACTACTATTGCTTTTCGCATTATTGCGAGTTCGTTTTCTACAGCTTCGTTTTTTGGTGTTGTGGCCATAAGTGTAGACAGATTCTTGGCAATCCATCTTCATCTCAGATATCAAGAACTTGTGACTCACAAGCGTGTTGTTGCTGTGGTGATCTCATTATGGATGTTTAGTGCATTTGTTTCTTTAATAGGGTTGTGGGCTTCGGCCAAAATTGTCTCCCTTATTATTTCCATTTGTGGAGTTGTTGGTCTCGTTCTAACAACAATAGTTTACAGCAGGATTTATTTAGCCGTACGACGCCACAAGAATCAGATTCAGGCCCTGCAAAGTGCAGCAAGTAGAACATACTAGTGAAATGCAAATTTTTCTAGCCTCATTAAATCGGCAGTCGGTATATTCTACGTATATATTTTGTTTTTGCTTT